GGGTCTCAAACCAAAGGCTACAGACTCCCCTCCACCACCATCCTGCAGCACCTCTCCTAGGTCCTGGCTTGCCAGCCGTTCTGGCTAGGCTCAGGACCCAGAATGATCCCAGGGCGAGGGAAAGAGGAGGTTGAAAGGGGTGGACAGGCTGTAAGCTCCAAATTAAGCTTAGAGAAAGGCCTGGGAGGGGGAAAGGGGAGGCCGGAGAAAAACAATAAAAAGCAATAAAACGAAATGAAAAGGAAGGGGAGGGACTCGCCAGGGTCAAAAAGGCAGGAGGAGTCGGTGAAGACACAGCCTAAAGTATGTTAATTATCCAGGCAGGAGGAAAGGGGACACCAAGGCGCCACGCTCCTGGGGGGGGGGTCTCGACCTGCTGATCCCGCCAGATATGTCTATCAGGAAAGGCTGAGAGAGCCCAGGCCCCAGCAAGACCCGCGAAGCCCGCGCCAGGAACCGGGGCCCGCGCCCAGCACGAGCCGACAGCCCCCAAACTGCTACCAAGCAGCGCCCCCAGCTGCGTAACCAACCCCACCCACCCGGGCCGACAGGCTGGCAGGTGCTTTCGAGGAACGCGGGGTTGGGAGGGCGAAGCTCTGAGCGCCGACACGGGCAGTGGCCTCCCTTGCGCGCATCAAGACTCAGGGTGCAGACTCCGGCAAGTGGGGACTTCCTGAGTTCCAGGGCCAGGGAGGACGCCCCGCGCGAGGAGGGGGACCCTAAAGTGTGAGGCTGTCCCAGAGGGGGAAGGGTGACAGGGAACCCGAGGCCCCCCACGCGCTCACCTTTGAGGAAGTAGACCCGCGGACCCGCGGGCAAGCAGGCGAGCAGCGAGGTGAGCACAACGCGCGCGGCGCTCTCCTCGCGCAGCTTCTGCCAGTGGCGGCTGCCCTGGTCCAGCACCACCACGGCCACCACGCCGCCGCCGCCCTCCTGCAGCAGCCGCGCTCGCGCCGCCTCGTCGGGCAGCACGTAGCGCGCCGACACCGCGCCGCCGCGAGCCCGCCGCAGCACCACCGAGTTGAGGTTGACGTTGAGCGAGCCGCGCACGTTGGAGGCGGCGAAGGCCAGGTAAGGCCGGCAGTCCAACACCACGCAGCGCGCCGCCGCCTCTTTGCGGAGCATCTTGCGCAGCTGGCGCCCGTCGAGCGACGTGACCTTCATGTCGCCGCCGCCGCCGCCCAGCGGCCCCGCGCCGCGCGCCCTGCAGGTGCCCACGGCCAGGGTGCTCGCTGGCTTAGGCACGGGAGGGCGGCCTGCGAGGCTGAGGCCGGCCGACCGAGCCCCGCGCCGGAGCGGCTGCTCAACTCTTCTCTCCTGCCCCGCACGGTCGGCGCCGAGCCCTGCCACACACAGCCCCAGAAAACGGGGATTCCGCCGGCAGCGCCGCGTCTTATGTGGAGTGTGTGGCCTGTGACGTGGCTGCCCATATAAGGCCGAATATGGGTATTTCCCCGCCCCCTTCGGGCCGTGGCCACGCCCCCGGGGAGTGGGACTCACGGGGAGGGTTAGTCAGCCGGAGAAAAGAGGAAGTGCAAGGCGCCTCCCTGTGCTCGCTGTGGCGTTGCGCGGAGAGACTCACTCACGCATCAGCGGAGACCGCCAGTGGGGTGCTAGGAACGCCACGAGGCCGAGGTGACCCACGCTGTGCGGGAAGAGGAGGAAGCGGAGGAGGCCGGGCCGGCGCCACACAATCGGGCTCTGAGTTTCATAGACGTAGGTTCGGAACCTGCTAGGCGCCGTGCCAAGCACCACACTGGGCCGGGCAAGGAGGGGGGGCCTTGGCCAGGGCCCCCAGATGAATCAGAAATGTATTCTGATCCTTTCTAACGTCTTTACCCGTGAAATAAGATGATAACTGGGATTTGCTTCGAGAAATGGTTTATAGATGAGTCGGTTGAGATTGGGCTTGTGTTGGTAGAGTTGAAGTAGGGCAATTGGTACCTAGGTGTTCATAACACCGTTTTCTCCACTTGAAAATGTCCATAATGGAAGTCCCTAGAAGTAAAAATGGAGAGAGAAGAGCCAGCAATTAATCTTTCCAAATGGATTCTGCCCTCAAAGGATTAACAGCAGCCCTTTTCTCGGTCACACGCCAATAATAATTAGAATAATTGTTTTTTGAGGAGTTGTTTTCTGGCTCCTGGAAAATCTGTCGTGAAATCAGCTACAGCATCACATACATCCTTTGATGGAGCTCAGTCCAGCCAACTGTCCAGGTGGCTTCTGGATTTGAGGGATTATCTGTGGATCAAGTATAATCCCAGGCTGTTTTCCCCCCCACCAGCTCCAGCAGCTTCAGGCTTCCCGTCCTCAGTCTTGGGGAACTGGACGCAATTCTCTCGTTCAAGTATTTTTTGAGGGTCAGCTTGGTGCCAGGGCTCTGTTAGCTGCAGGGACACGGTGTGAGGGAAAGATCTCCACCCCCATGTTCACGAGCAAGGATTTTATTGTTAGCCTGGTGGGGGAGGGGCTGTTGGATGGAAAACAGCTTGCCTCCACTAGAGAAGAGCTTCTCTACCACTGAAGGAGGGGAACGAGGTTTTTAGAAGGAAGAAATCAAATTCAGAAAACAAATGCAATCAAATGGGACACCAGTAGCTGGCATTGTCTCTAGGTCACAGATGCACTCAGAGACGCTGTCCTCTCCATGCCAGTGGGATCTTAATGAAGATGTGATGCGGGGATTTTCTCTTTGGGGTTTTCTGTGCCAGCCTTCCCTTCAATCTGCTCCTCCCCTAGTGTCACCTGCACCACCCATCCCCAGACACCTCAGCCCACAGCCGCACATGTATGGAGCACCTACATAGCCAGGCTCTCTGTATGTGGTGCTGGACAGCAAAGCGAGCAGGACTTGCTCTCTGCTCCAGCTGCCCCCAGCCCAGAGAGGGGCCTGGCCCAGCCACAGGCCTCCTTAAGTTCCTGTAGTCAGTATGGAAGACTATCCAGGGTGTGTAGGGTGGGGTAGCTGCAGAGCTGGGGCCTGGAGAAAGCCTCTCAGAATGGAGGAGAGCTGAGGCAAACTTGGAAGAGTGAATTGAGGTTAGCCAGGCCATGGAGGGGAAGATGGAGGGCATTCCAGGCAGAGGAAACTGCTAGTGGTAAAGAAAAGAAATCTCGAGCCGGCGGAGTGAAGCAATGGTTAAGAGCTGGCTTGGGACGCCAAGAGGGCCCCGATTCGGATCCCACATATGAGGGCCAGTGACACTGCCCTCCACAGCTAAGATGCTGAACGACAGCTCAACCTGGAGCTGGGCTGCAATGAGTCACCGGCAACAGTGTAGGCTGTAGCCCCTGCTGCAGTGGGTTGCCATGGGCTACCGTGTGTAGCCAGCAGCCAGCGTGAGCGGCCAGCAGCCGCAGTGAGCAGCCGTCCAGAAGCCGGCGACTGATCTGCCTCGCCTGGGAAGAGCGCAATGATGGTGCCAACTTGGGCCAGTGAAGCAACGTCCTCCACAACTAGACTGAAGAACAAAAGGACAGCAACTTGTCTGTTCCCCTTCCCCAATTCCCCAGCGCTGTTCCCATTCCCCCAATTCCCCAATAAAAATCTTTAAAAAAAAAAAAAAGAAAAGAAAAGAAATCTCCCAGTGTCGTATGTGCTGGAGGTGTGTGGGAGATTAAGGCATTTCTGGCATTTATTAGAAAACTAAGCAGGCTCAGGTGACAGGGCCATGTGTGCCATTTAAGGCATTTTGATTTTATTCTTTGGCTGGAGCAGCTCCGGATGAGGGTTCTTACTCCGTGACCTGGTCAGGTGAGCAATTGTGGACCTGCCTAATGCAGCACTGTGGAGGGTGGATGTTTAATTTGAGAGTGGGGTTGGGGTCCAGACCAGAGTCAGGGAGACAGGAAGAGTTTCTGTGGGTAATCCAGGCCTGAGCTGATAAGGGCCTGCCGGAACTTGGCAGTGATAGCAGCGACTGCAAAGGCCACACAAACGAGAGAAACATTTAAGAAGTAAATTTCCAGAAGGGATGGGATGGAGAGAGAAGAATAGAGGGTGACCCAGAGCTTTTAACCTGGGTGACTGGGTGCACGGTGATCCCTTTAGATAGGGACCCTGCAGGAACAGGTCTGGGTGGGTAGCAGGAGGAGGGGAAGGGGTGGCGTTTCGACATATTAATAAGTTAGAGTTGATCATGGGCCACCCAAAGGGTTGCCCAGTAAGCATTGGGGTGGCCTGGCAACCAGTGCAAGAAGGTCGTCTGTCAGCTGGATTATTCCCTCACTTCCCACGTTGAAGAGAGCAGCAGGCCCCAGACTGCTGCCTTCCAGATCTGGCTTCTGACCTGCCTTTTCCACTCTCATGGTCAAGGCCTGCTCTGGGGATATGTGACCTGTGCAGTTGCACAGGACCCTGTACTCAGAAGGGCCCATGCTTGATTTAATGCTCTGCTGTCACTCTTTTGAAATTCCCAATACTTTTTGAACAAGGGACCCTGCGTTTCCCTTTTGTACTGGACCCCACAAATTATGTAGCTGCCCATGGCTGTAGTTAAAGGGCCCCATGACCCCCCATACTGGGCTCTACAGTAGCATCCTGTTTCCCAATCTCCAAGCCCTCTCCTTGCTCTTGTCCTCTGCAATGTGGACATCAATGCTCAGCATAGATCGGGGCATAGAGCCCACCTACTCCACTCAGAAATCTTCAGCGACAACCTACGCATTGTCTAATAAATCCCAAATTCCTTAGTAGAACACCAAGAACCTTGTTCTGGCCAATTAGCCATAAACCACCTCTAACCTTGTTTTGTTTCCCTCCCTCCCTCCCTTCCTTCCCCCTAGCCCCCATTCTCAAGTTCCTCTGGTCACACCCAGCTGCTTGTTTCCTAAACTCGCCCAGCATTTTGCTGCCTCCGCCCTTTCTACAGGACTTGAGTGCCTCCCCTGTTGCTTTGCATAGAAATCCCTCTTCACCACACCCCAGTTCCAGAGCTACTGTTGCACCTCTAAGAAGCTAGGCCATAATCCCCCAGCCTGTTAATCAGTCACCCTCTTGGGGGCTCCCCTCCCCCAACCTGTTGCATGAGTGTTATCGGACCTCCTGTTAGCCTGCATGCTCCCAGGCGGCTCTTAGGACTTATCCCACCATCTGTGACTCTGTCAAAACAGCTAACGCATGGTAGGCTCCAAGTTGGTGGAATGGAATTCAGTGCTTGCTTCAACTTGAGTGCGGCTGGCTTTTTAGGAGGCTCCTGGGAAGAAAGTTGGTCATGGCATAAGTTAGGGCCTTGGACCCTGGGTAAGGAAGCCATAGGACGCTGTGGACACACAGTCCTCAGGATCAGGAGCTAGAGATCATTAGCCACAGGCCTAGGAGGAAGAGGAGGGTGTCTGAGACTAGAATTGGGTAAATAATCATGCCTGTCCCCCCTACTGCTTTGGAATGAGGGCGAGGGTGAGTTCAGGGAAAAAGCAATTTAATTAACGCCTGTTCTCTTTGTCATTCTTTCCCTCTGCCAGCTATTCTCAGAGGTGGACAAGAAGATTTTCGTGTTTCTTGGACCTCATTTGACCAGTTGTCCTAACCGTCAGGCCCTGGTTCATTATTGCGATCTGGGGCTCTTACCCGTTGGAGGGTCATGGGTACCCCTTTTTAAAAGTTGTAGGCCTGCTCCTTGGAACTCTGCGCACACAGCATTCAGCTTCCAGTGTCAGGGAGTTTCGCAGGCTGAGAGCTCCTGTGTCTGCCTGTCATCACAGCCTCAGTGGGAGCCTCTGGGATGGAGCCCCAGCCCTGCTTTCCCCATATGCTCACAAGGTGGGGCCAGGTACCTTGTGGGAATGGATCAGAGGGCATCCCAAAATGCTGGGGCCGGGGTCCAGAGCAATCCCAAGGCTACCCCCAGTGCCCTCCACCAGCCCCAGCCAGGATGCATTTTGCCCCCTCTCTTCATTGACTCATTTGTTTCTGGTTATGAAAGTAACACGTGATGGTTGTTGAAAATGTGGAAACTGCAGAGAAGTGAAAATGATTGGGTTTTTTTGTTTTGTTCTATTGTTTTGTTTTGTTTTAACAGCATTGCTTGCTGTGGTTAAAGATCCCAAATCAAGGCTGCTGCCAGGTCTGGACCCAAGACTTGCTTCCCACTATCTTGGATAAAGGAAGGAGCACTGGACCAGGAGTCAGAGATCTGGATTTCTGTCTAGTCTCTGCTATGTTCAGCTTTTCTTCATTTACCTAGTATTTATAGTGTGCCTTTTGTGTGCATAGATGTTTTTCTGCCCATAACCTTCCCATCTGCCTTGCCCCTGGGATCTTAGAACGGAGCAAATACAGTGTTCACTCAGGGCTATGGACCGCACTTGCTGTGTGACTGTTGTGACTCACATAACCTCTTAGAGCCATGGTTGCCTCTTCTATAAAACAGGGACATTAGTGCCTGCCTGCTAATGGTGAGTGACGATGACATCATGTACATAAAGCTGCGATGCATGATACAAGCATAAGGCATTTGTATGGCTGTTGTGGCCAGTATTATCCATCAGCAAAGTATGCCTCACTCACATCCTCAGTCAAACCCTGATGCATTGGTCCATTCAGTTTCCTCTTCTGTAAAGTGGGAGTAAAAATAGGACTTAGCTCATAGGTTACTGTCAGAATTTCTTGAGTTAATACATGTAAAGTACTTAGGATAGTGCCTGGTGCATATTAAGAATTCAATAAATGTTAGCTAGTTGAACTAGCTGTAGCATTTGTTCCTGCCAAGAAAAGAGTGTTTTCTAATGGCACAGGAAAACAAGATGGGGGTAGGCATGGCCAGGGAGAGGGAGTTGCTTGCTGTCTAATTCAGCTGGCAGTCAAAAGAAAAAATTATTAGAAGCCTATGAATCTGTTCTTCTGAAGGCCGGCTGAGTATAGGGGGATATTTAGAGTAAAAAACCCCAGACCCACATATAGTAAAGTAGGAGAGACAGGAAGCCAGACCCTCTTAAGGTAGGAGAGACAAGAAGCCATTCACACAATACGTGCAAAATTGGGTGGTTTTCACGTAGAGAACTAAAGAAAGAGAAGAGAGATCCATAAAAACTGGAGTATTCAAGCAGGAGAGCGTGGGAGAAGCATTTAGATTTGATAAATAACCCATCTAATTCTCAGAGCAAGGACTTTGGAGGGTGACACCCTGAGGTTTAAGTCTCTGGTGTGCCATTGCTGGTTGTGTGATCTTGGGCAAGTTATATCACCCCTCTAAGCCACAATTTTCTCATCTGGAAAAAAAGGCGGGGGCTGGGGGGGGGGCGGCAATAACAGTACCTACCTCATAGGGTTGATGAGAAGATAAGATGAAGTACCTACAAAAAGCCCTTGTCTGCATGCCTGGAGCATGGTGAGGGCACTATGTGAGCCAGTGTTTTTCTGTATGAAGAGTCACAGCAGCACCGAAGCCCAGAATCTTGGCAGTAAAGAATTATAATTCTATCTTGAAATTTTCCGGAGAGGGAGTTCACTTACTGCCTGATGAGATTTTTGAATGAGGCCAAAAAAGGCAACAGGCATATCCTGGGATTTTTACAAGATGCCAGGTATGTCCTCTTCACAAGCACTTTCTGATGTAAGTACCATTGCCCCCATCTTACAGTTGACCAAGTTTACACTGCTGGAGCTGACCTCCCTGTGTCTCCTACCCTTTGCTTCCAGGTCTTCAGAAATACAGTGTAAGTCTATACCCTCTTTGAAATATTGGGTTGTCGGGAAAGTCATGATGCATTTTTGCATTGAAAAACATAGAAAAATATGTTATGACTTTCCCGACAGCCCAATATTTGAAGATGGTCATCTTATCTCTTCCCCACCTTTTCTTCTGTAAAATAACAGTCCTTGTTCCTTACCATCATTGCTTTCCAGACTCCTAGAAGACTTTTTGTTTATTTTTCAGAACTCTTTACTTGTGATCCCTGAATGAAACTGGGATGCAACAAAGCATGTCTATTTACCCAAAGTTCAAAGATCCTACAAAAAAGAGTGGCTGGTTAGAGAAAGGAAGAGATGGAAGACAGCAAACACTTGAAAGCAAAGAGAAGCCATTCTTCCCCCTTGCACTGAGGAGCCACGGATAGCCGTGAAGACAGGGAGAGGGATTTTATTCCCAGTTCCAGCTTCCCTCATACAGCACTCCCTCAAGTCTGGTCTGGATGGCACAGGGCATCCTTGAAAGCTACAGGAAGTGGGCTGGGGTTGGGAGGAGTTTAGAAAGAGCAAATTCGTCATCTCTGCAGCCTCAGCCCTAGAGATTCTGCCAAGAAAGATATGGCCAGTCCAACTTGGTCTTTTTTTTTTTTTTTTTAATGGGGAGTGTGCCCTTGAGTGAGCATTGTACTCCTCCTAAGACCCTGGAGGCAAGGAGGATGGGAGAGCTGTGGGGGAGAAAACCACATATGCATGAAATGTCAACAGCCTCTGGGTAGAGCTGTCCTGGGCTGCTGGTTGTCTTCCTGTCTCTCTCTCCCTCCCTCCCCCATTCCTTCCCTCCCTCCCAGACATCAGTCTTACCACCTTCATGGATTTTGCAAAATCTGAGTACCACCTTCTCTATTATTCTTAAAATTCACCTTACAGAGACTCATTAAAACAAAACAGAAAAACCCTTATTCCGTCTTAGACAGTAGTATCTGGGGTTTGGTAATATAATTCTATTTTTGTAGTAAAAATTAAAATACATGACAATGAAAAAAACAAACAAAAAACATCTTAAAAGTTCTCTCATCACAAGAAAAAAAATTGTATAGCTGTATGGTGAAGGATGGTAACTAATGTGATCATTTTTCAGTGTATACAAATACTGAATCATTCTGTTGGACACCTGAAATGAACATGTTTTATGTCCATTATACCTCGATACAAAAAATAAAATATATGACAAGTCAAGGGGAGACTTTCATCTGTGTCCCATGTACAGTAATCTCTCCTGCCATCAGGATGCCATGCTGTTCTTGGGGAAACGGTCAGTGGGCCCTGGAGTCAAGGAGACCAGCATTGGGCCCGGCTGTGGACATGGCCAGTGTGTAGCCTCGGACAAATGGCTTAAACTATCCTGAGCCATAGTGTCTAGTTGAGAAAAGTCGTATAATTGATAAAATATAAAATAGAAACAAACTAATACACATGAAAGTACCTTTAAAGTGCTCCAGATGTTACTCTTTTTCATCAGTAACATCCTTGTTCCTGTGGGGAGGAGGGGGTGGGGACTGGGGGGAGGTGTCTGGTCTCCTTTCTCCCCTGGTTTAGAACTAGTGGAAAAACACCTCTAAATCTTAAGAGTACAGAGCAAGGGCTTTGCCCAAGATTTCACCCGAGCCCTGCCCCCTGACGGCTGTGGGACAGACACTGCGGGAGTCACTTATCTCTGCATCTGTTTCCTCGTCTTCAAAGTGGGGTTTGCTTTGACAGAACTTCTTCAACTTGATTGTGCATAAAGCCTCAGGAGCCTGTTGACGCACATATTCTCGTTCTGGGCCTGAAAATCTGCATTTCCAACCACTTTTCAGGTAATGCTGATATGCTGGGCCACAGGCCACACTCAGAGTAGCAAGGAGTGATAGTATTTAACGCCTATGGGTATTGAAAGGCTTAAATTAGAGAGTACACCCTAAACATTTAGCCTGGTGCTTACTCAGGGATTTAGCCGATAGTAGCTCTATCGTCAATATTAAAGTGATTGGTACATATAGGGGGTAAGGGTGGGTTGAGAGGTAACCCCAGAGAGAGCTGAGGATGATAAGACTTATAGCATTTGTGGGGTTTAGAAAGAGCACTGTACCAGGAGCCAGGAGACCCAGGTTCGAGTTCCACCTTTGTAACTCACGCCATAACTCAAGAGCTTGGGCCTTTCTGAGCCTCAGTTTTCCCTTCCACAGAAGAAGAGGGGAGTTGAGTTAGATGGTGTTTAAGGATTCATTCAGCTTTAAATCAAAACCAGCAATCCTTGCTCTACCCACAAGTATCAAAAGACACCTAACAGGCCAGAACTTGGCCACAACCTTGGCCATAGCCTTGCGCCACATCTGTGGCAGGGCCTGCTCTGAGCCTGCCTTGACCGCAGGGTGAGGATGAAGAACTGGAAAGCCCAGCCTGGTGCCCTTGGTGTTCCTTGAGGTGTGGGTGATATTACCTCCGGAAGCCTCCATCCCGCGGGCCTTGTGCACAGTTCTGCCTGTTAGGGAGGGATGATTTGTAGCCTGGACGGGAGCACGTTTGTGGCATGCCCAGAGAAAGGATGTAAAAGCAGACATTTTCAACATTCCATCCCACTGCTTCACTGCACTGGAGGCAAAGATGATTCACAAGTAAACTCCTTGGAAGCGTGTATCACACCTGGTCGATTCCGCCCCTCTGCATGGCCCTTCTGACCCTGTACTCGAGACCCAGGCAGCTAGACCCAGCAAGAAACTTGCCCCTCGGTGGAAGACATGCGCATCCAGCAATCTAGTCCCCACATGAGAAGAACAGGCCCGTTAGATGAGTACATCCTGTGGCCCCCAGCACCCTGTCAGCACAGCCCCAGACAATTTGTCGATCCGCAAGTCTGTACTGAGCCCTCACCATGAGCAACATTTATGAGCACCTGCTGCATGCCTCTGGCTAAGCAAGTTCACCTGAATAGCTTATTTAACCTCATTGCATCCCAGTGAAGAGAGTCTGGTACAGAGGGGGCACCCAGGTTCAGAGCAAGACATTCAACAAGTATCACCCCTGAGCAAAGCCCACCAGGCTGAGCTGACCCCTCCCTTCTCTTACTTCTGTTATGAACTTTCATCACAGGTCCTGTTCATGGTTACACTTGATCACTTACCTTTTCCTCTCTCCTGACCAAGGAGCCTGCTCCCAGGGGCTCTGCAGCCACAGCCCCCAGCCTAGCCCACAGATGACCCTAGTAAGACGTTTTGCCCAGTGAATACCTGAAATGGGGACTCAGGTCCAAGCACCATACCGCTTAGCCCTGGGCTGAGTGGGGAAGGAGGAGAAGCCCAAGACTTCATTCCTGACCTTAGGGACTTACTATCTGGTTGTTAGGAACCGGAATCTGAATCATAACGGGGGGAAAAGGGTCCACAAATCCGGTTGGGTTTGGGTTATGGATTCAAGGGGCTGGGTCAAACCAGGAGAAGGGGAGACGGTTGAGGGCCCAGTGGTCAGGGCAGGCTGGGGAGAAGTGTAAGAACTGAAAACCAGGGAGGATTTCCTCAGGCGGAGAGGAGAAGGGCTTGCAGCTGAAGGAGACACATAGAAGGAAGCACAGGAGTGGGAAGAAGGAAGGTCAGCCGGGTGGGGGGCAGGGAGGTCCTGGGAATGGCCAGGAGGTGGGGCGGTCAGGGCTAGGGAGTAACACCTGCTTTGTGCAATCAGGCAACATGTGTGTGAATCCTAGAAGTGTGTGTTACCCTTTGACCGAGCAATTCCACTTCTGGGAAATGATCTAAAGGAAAATCTCCAAAATCCGGGGGAGGTAAAACTAGATTCATAGCAGTGCTCATCACAGAGCTATTTATAAGAAGGTAAAAAGGGAAGCAGTCAAAGCATTTCTCATAAGACAATGGTGAAGAAATTGGTGTATCCAGCAGCCATTAAATGTGATGTTTCCAAAGACTATGAATAATATTCAGAATCAATTATGTTAAAATGTTAAGGGAAATGGCAGGTTACAAAAACAACAGCTGCCCTTACTGAGTGGTATTTCCTAGGTATTCCACACTTGGCCTTATGTAATCAATGCAACAACCCCGAGAGGGTGGCATTACTTGCACAGAACAGACCTGGAGACTGAGGCTCGCCAGGTAGGGGCTGGAAGACCCCTGGTCACGCTCCAGGGTTCTGACCACCACCTCCTATAACATGACCACATCATCCAGGAGACCTGAGAGAAACAGATCAAATATTTGTAAGGGGGTGGGGGAGAGTTGTTCCCCCTAATTTTCTGTATTTTCCAAATTTTTCCTTATGAAGTTGTAATACTCTTTTTGCATCTTTTCCTCATTTTCAGTTATATATTCTGCTTATTATTCTGCAACTTATTGTTTTTTTCCATTTACCTGAAGTTCTCAGTGATCTTACCATCTTCTGGATGCCCTTTATTCTTTTTTGGGGGGGGGATTGGGGGAGAAGGTCTCAGATGATTCCATGGTATCTACAGATTGGGCATAATTTACTTACCTGGTTTTCCTATTGAAGGACATTCTTGCCTACACTGCTTCAGGCAGAGGGTTTTGTTTGTTTTTAACAGAAAAGAATGGACTGAAAAGAAAGTGCCTCTAGGTCACTATACATGGGGCTTTGGCAGGTTGAGGTTGGAAGGATTTCATTAGGGGCTCCAGGTACAAGGACGTTCCCTGTTGCTAAAACGGCTGGCTGGAGTGAGTGGGTCTATTTGAAGATGAGTTTCTTTGGTGTCTTAGGTTCTAGGTACTAATATCCCCACACCCCACAGTCCCCTCAGGGCAGCTCTAACAGCTGGCCCTCCTTGGCTGGTCTAGGGCTTTTCTCTTTGGGGGAAGTTAATAGATAAGGAACCCTGCCCTTGATTCATATTGACAGGCAGCTTAATTCTGTTTAGCTGTGGGCCAAATCCTCTTCAGGAAGTCAGCTATTCCAACCTCTCTGGGCCACCATGATGCAGAACTGACTCCACTTCATTCAGCTCCACCAGCTTCTCCGAAGATCTTTCACAGCCAATGTAGTTTGAGCATCCAGAACCTCTGCCAATTGTTCAGACTCGCTGTGTGGCCTGCAGCCCACCTGGTGAGGGCCCTGGGCTGTGTGCTTCATTTATATGGAATTAGGGGCTGGAGGTAGACAATTTCCAACTGCTCCTACCTTCTGCTGTGCTTCTTTGAGGCCTTCGTGAGAAAGACACAGACAGCCCTGCCTCTTACTAGCTGTGCAGCCCTGGGTGAGTTCTTCACTTCTCTGAACATCAGTTTCACATCTGTAAGATGCGGACGGGTGAGACCTACCTGATAGGGCTGTGCAGATGAAATGAACTACTGCCACACATTTGGCACCCCGCCTAGTGGCTACGCTAGGAAGCTGAGCGATGCGTCATGGGCTTAATCCTTAAAGACCCTAAGAAGGGAAGCCCCTCTGCCCCGTTAGCCCAGTCTCCAAAGAGTTACCTGGGGCTGCCCAGGAGAGCTTGTCTTTGAGAACCTCTGACCCAGGCACGGAAGCTTATTCCTTTCTGAGCCAATGGGGTGGTAGGTACCCTGAAGCCACCTAAGCTAAACAACAAACAACAAACACAGACTCTCAGGGCAGCTCCTGAACTTGTAAGAGTCCAAACCCGACCAGCTGCTCTCTGGCTAGCACATTATGTCCCCCATCTCCCTTCATCCTTAGCTTTGTCTTCATCTCATCACTTCATCCTTAGCCCTGTAGCCAGAACATCAACCTAAAGCTTATCAGAGGGGAGGCATCAACTTAGGGAAGTTTAAAGGTCTGGTCCAAAAATGTACTATTAGAGAGTGAAAAAAACTAGGTGGAATAAAAAGTCTAGCATTACTCTTTTGGAAAAGAAAAATCCAATTAACTAGGGTGTGTGTGTGTGTGTGTGTGTGTGTGTGTGTGTGTTTCTATATACATATAGACCTTTCTATATACTTACATACATTCAGCTGGTATAAGAAATTCTCTAGCATAAAAGTGTTATCTTTTGGGGACTGCGGTGGGCTCTTCCTGTTTATTGTTTGACTCTGCTAATAAATGCATCTTGTGAGGGAGGCAGTTATTGTAGGGGTTAGGAATGATGGGGGCGTTCGAGTCAGACCGTCTTGTTCGGCTTCAAACTCAGGTGTGTGTCTCTGGATCA